TCTCCATGAAAGCTTACTAAAAGCCAGTGAGCTGTATCGTTAGTACTCCTTTATATGCATAATCAAAACAGAAACTATATATGTGCTCATATGCTGGCATATCTGAGTGTGAGTATTGGCATTTGAGAAATTCCCAACTGCGTTGACCCGCCTACCCAGCACCGGGTCACCGGATGGCGCTCATTTGTCATTTGAATGAAATTCACGCCAACACCGACCGTTGTGGCATCGAGCCAATACACCAACGTTCAGAAGAAACAAAAATGTAAAGAAAAAATTAGATATACATATATTAGCATATGTGTATGTGTGCACGTGAACAGCAAAGGAAGCGGATTTGCACTCAAAGCTATACTTCGGCGCCACCTACGCACATATATTCGCACGGATATGCCTGCAACGAAAAAGTCTTGTGTAATAGTCATCGAAGCTCTCAAACTTACTTATAAGCTTACATTTGTGTATTTAAATATTTTTTTATATATTTTCCTTTCAAGTGTTTTTGTGCAATCAACTTGATATTCGAAGCGTTCTTTTTCACTGAAATCTTTAGTTTTAGTTTTTTATTTGTATTTTTTTATTTTTCTTCCTTCCTCCCTTTTTGTACTTTTTTTATCATATGCAGTGCTTACTTTCTTTATGCAGACTTTGCTTCCGTTCAATTTGTAAAAATGAATTTTATCCTCTACAATATTGTTCACTGATGACCACAAGTGTCTGTGTGTGTATGTGTGTGTGTGTGACTTTATTCTGTCTGTCTATATTTCTCTATCAATTTAAATATTATATACGATAGTACGGGTATTTGTATTTATTCATGTGCACAATATCGTATTGATTAAAATCGCTTATTCCTTCAATTCAATGGGTTTTGTTCTTTGTGGCCTCTTTGAATCTTGTTCCTCTCTTCTGCATGACCTTTTGCTGTAAATGATGACCACTTCGATTATTTGACTTCGTTTGATCCTTACACAAAGAAAATATAATTGGTCATTTCCATTTGGGACGGCATAGCATACACGTCGACTGGCTTTCATCAAATTTCGTTAAAAGATTTATAAAGCAAATCTGGAAGTGTTTTTGCACTCAGCAACTTACACAAAAAAATATACAAAATTTTGTGCATTCCTTTAAAGCCTGTGTTGCTGATGTGCATGTCCTTCGGCAGTTTATCCGTATTAAATAGCTGTGTTCTTTACTTTACCACCCTTGGCTTCGCTTGCTCGCCTTGTCGCTGCAATTGACTGGAATTTAATTTGAAAATTGCTATCACACTTAGTATTGTACATAAACGTACTTACTGGAATGAACACAAATGCACATTCATACTTACATATGTACAATGCATTAATTTAAAAAAATCAAGTTTGCTTTCTAACTATCCAAAGTGTCCAGAGCTCGTAGTCGGCCTTAAATTATACAAAAGCTTTCCAATTTGCCATGCATTTTTATTGTTGTTGACCAGCTGGGATTTTTTTAATTTTCTGTCCGTTTTGGTACCCCATCTCCGCCCACTATTCATGAGCAACTTCAATTCAACAGAGACCTTTCTCATGCTCAGAGCCTCTACAGCCTTCGAACTGATATTAAACGCCCCAAAATATGCAATGACATTCAGTAATATTTTATTATTTTATTCGCTCATCAACTCAGCTCATTGCTTGCTTACTTGCTTGCAAGCTTGACTGCTTACCAGCATTTACTAGCATACAAGCAAAGGAAAGCAACTGCAGTAAAAGTAAGCACAGGGTGATGCTTTTCTAAATTCTTACCAAGTTTATAATTAAATTAAAATATTCTATTTAAAATTTGGTTAAATTAAATAAAAAAAGATGGAAAATAGAAAAATAAATAACACAGAATAAAACAAATCAAATGAACTAAAACGACGAAAAGTAAAACAAAACATCGTAAAATAAAGTGAAATAAAATAGAGAAATTTAATTAATAGAAGTAACTAAAATAAATATTTAATAAATAAAATAAAAATAAAATAAAATAAAATAAAATAAAATAAAATAATATAAAATAAAAAAAATAATAAAAATTAAATTAAATTAAATTAAAATAAATTAAATTAAATTAAGTTAAATTAAATTAAATAAACAAATAAATTTAAAAAAAATTAATAATAATTAATAACATCAAAAAATACAATTAATATAATTTGAATTTGAATAAAATATTAAAAAATTAATAAAAAATAATAAAGTGAAATAAAATAAACGTTAAAAAAACTAAAACAACAGGAAGATTAATGTATTTTATCGTAAATTTAAATAAAGTAAAAGAAAACAAACTAAATTTTTTTTGAAATAAATTAAATTAAATAAAATAATGTAAAAAAATAAAACATATAAGTTAATTTAAAAAATTAAATAAAAACAAACTGCATTAATATAAAAAAATACTTCAAAACAAAATCAACTAAAATGAAATAAAATCGAACAAAATAAAATCAAATAAAAAAATAACTTAAAATAAACAGAAACAAAGTAAAATTGATTTCTACCATAAGTGAAATAAAACATTTTGCTTTAAATAAAACAAATTGAGTGAGAATAAAAAAAAATAAATTAACTTAAAATGAAGTGAAACAAAATAAAATTGATTTCTTTAAAATAAAAATTTTTATATGGAAAAACTAAATGAAATACAGCAAAATAAAATACTAAGCGTTAAGTAAAAAGGGCTGAGTTACAATTAATTAAAATAAAATAATATATATTGTAAAATAAAATAAGATACAAAATTTAAATAAAATAAAAAAAATTATTTTAAATTATTAAATAAAATAAAACTAAATTAAATTAAATTAACTTAAATAATATATAATAAAATAACAGAAAATAAAATAAAATAGGAAAAAAATTAAACGGGAGAGTATTTGGATAATAAATAAAACGTGAGAATTCGAATAAAATTCGGGATAAACTATCAAAAAAATGGGCAGCAAATATAGTTTTATACAAAAATTTGTCACACAAAATTTTCGGAATGAAAAGCTCATTTAAAATTTATTTTGCTCCTCACTGCTTGTATATGTGCCACTGTATATGATAATAAAATATAAATAAATATATAATACATATAGTTCCACCGCCTACGATGAACTACGAGTTATGTGACCTTGTGCCGCATTGCCTGCCAACGCCTACACAATTTCCTACCACAGCATAAAAAAACATTGCCTCTACACTCTTAACTCCCTCTCTCCAGCGTTCACTTCATTATTATTCCCTTGGCAACAGCCCTTTTCATGTCAACTCAATGATTTTTCTACTCATTTTCATTCAATATTTTTTTTACAACCTTTTTGTTTTTGTTGGCTGACAAAGTCTATTTAACCAGCTAGCAGCAACGAAATTCATGAAAATAACAAAAACTTCATTCAACTAAAAAAAAAAATTAAATAAAATAAAAATAAACTAAAATAAAATAAAAAAAAATTAACTAAAAATAAAATGGAATTGCTTAAAATACTCTTGTAATTTTTTGGCTTTCAAATACGCACACATACTCGTACATATAAATTTTAGACACTTGTCGGTGCTTTGTTATCTTTGGCCGCTTTATTCGTTTACTTAAGGCTTAAGGCTTTTAGAAATGACTTTACTTTTGGGCAAGTGCGCATGTTTGTGTGGGCGTGTGATTTTGCCTTTAACCTTTTAACTCGAATAGTCAAGTGCGTTCTTATCTTGTTTACAATGCACTATAACCTCTACAGCCGCTGACCTTAAACAAATGCTATTGACATTTATTGCAGTGCGCCAAACGGATAAACCGAACGGAAAATTTTCGAAAAAGAAAAATCTCCTTTATAAATATACTCTTTAATACAATATATGTATGTATGTATACCCTTGCAGATGAACACACAAAAGGTCACTTATTTTAGTGGCTTTTGATTTTAAGTAACTTTTTCAAATATTTTCTCAATTTTCATGTGATTTCGAAAGGCTTCTGTGGCTTTAAGCACTGGAAAACCATAAAATTGAAACTCTTTTGTGGTATCTTTGTTTTTGGCAAAAAAAAAAAAAATAAATGAAAAACTCGAAATACAAAAATACACTTGAGCGCTTATATTTTAATACAAACACATGTTTGCTTAAACCTTAGTTCATTTAAAGAAACAACGAAGGGTTTTATATTTAAACTTCACATAAGGAAAAGCATTTGTTTATTTTTCCAATAACTTTGCTTTAGAGTCTTTTGGCAAATTCGGCAAATATAATTTTTCAATTATGACACAAAATATTTGATTAAAATCAAAATCAAATTCAACAAGAATTTCCATATTAATTTTATTTTTTTTTTTTAAGCATTAATTCTTTATTGGCTTCAAGCACATAACGCCAAAAGCTCTTAGAATTAATTAAACAAATGACATTCTGTAATTCACATCTCACACCAAAGTTCCCTGGATGTAATCTGAATAAGCTCGGTGAAAGCTATGGCAATTTAAAGCTCTTGATTGTAGCTATTTAAGCTTTTTAAGCTTGAGTAACAGTAACAAATGATGAAATTATTAAATGTAGTTACGATAAACGCGAAATGCAAAACACATTTAAGCCAAAAATTTATATCTTTTATATAATTGATAATAATTTGATATGCAAAATGATAATTTATGAATATGCAAAAATTATTGATTTTCTTTTTTTTTTTTTGTAAGAACGTAAAAATCAAAAATTATTGTATTTTTATAGCTCAAAATATTTGAAACTAAAAAGATAAAAAGCTTCGATTCTAGTTATAAAAACTACTTATTTTAGAATTATATAAACATGCTGCGCGTAGACAATAATAAGCAGCCTCTTATATACGTAAATAACGGTTGCATTATTTTCATTATCTATTATATGAAATATTTTTATTGCAAAATTTAATATTATATTCGATGAAATTCATAGAAATTTATATTTCTTAAAATCGTAAAAATAATAACTTTTATATTCATTTTGTACTAAAAAAAAATGGTTATTTCTTTTTCATTGCAGTGCCAAGTAAACCATTGAATTTAACTGTTTTAAATGTAACATCGACCAGCATCACCATGTCATGGTATCCACCGAAGAATCAAAATGGCGCCATTGCTGGCTATCATGTCTTTCATATACATGAAAATCAAACTGGCGTTGAAATTATGAAAAATTCGCGAAACTCACAGGATTCCATCATCATATTTGAGCTGCCCAATTTAAGTAAGTAAAGGTGGATTTTTTTTTTTTAATTTATTCGTTTTGCATAATAATTTCTTCATTTAACATATGAGACAAACGATTTTGAAACCATACTAATTTCTTTCATATTTTTTTCTAATTCAGCTGAGGCTGAATATAATTCAGCTCTATTTTAGTTTAATCTTCCTACTCAAATTATTAATCAGCGCAGTTTTTAAGTAATACGTGTGCGCTGAATAAGCTTTGTATGCAATCTAATATAAATTATCACCCAAAAATAACCTTCTTTTTGATAAGAATTAAATGTAAAAGAAGCGATAGTATATTAAGTAAGAACATGCTTTGAGGTGATATATTTTTTGTCCAAAAATTTATTTATACTTACAATACATATATTTCAAACTCAGTGAAACCTGAACGATCAGCCCACACATTAGTAGCTTTACATGCCCCCATTTTATTCAGCTTGGGTTTAATAAAATTTTTATGCACACATTTACAATTCAGCATGTGCTGAATAAACTTTGGCGCTAATCCTAAACCAGCAAATAGAAGCTTTTAGGATTTATATTTGCAAACTAAGCATCAGCTGAATATATTTTTATTCTAGTTCTTGCATTTTTGCTGATATTTATAATTCAGCACTTGCTGAATATTGCTTAATATTATTTTTATGTGAATTATTCAACTCTGATTAACATAAAATATATTTTTATGACTATATGTTCCATGCTGAATAACTTAGGCATAAGGCATATTGCAAATCTCATATTGACGGCTATGCTTCAACTAAATCATCAACTAATAACGAAATAAATGACAAAGCCCAAGATATACAGCACAGTTAGATTATACTGCTAGTTTATATGTATTGTTAATCCTGTAGCACTATATATGTATTTAGATACACGAATGTTATGAGCACAAAAGTAAGTGACAACATTTATTGAATTATCTGCAATATTAATTTGAATGGCGATGCTCAAATGAATAATGAGTGATTTATGTATTGTTGCGGTCCAAGCTTAAGCGACAAAGAGCTTATTTCTGCTATAACCACATTTACTTATTATTGCGAAATTCTCTGTAACTGACTACGAAATAAAAGGGCGATAAGAATAACATTAATTTTTTGTACAATATTTTAGAGAAAGCACAAAAGTTCTGGAAAAGTTTGAAAGTAAGCTTTCTTCTGAAGCAATCGACAATTACTCAAGTATTTATTTAAAAATCTTTAAAATTTCAACACTTTCTTTTCCAATATGCCTTCAGTTGCCCTTAAACTTGAATTCGGTACCAAAGTTGAAAACTAAGCCACTGCGCCATCCAATTTTCACCGCTAAAAAGTACCATTCAGTAAACTTTCATTGTTAATTACTATTATTTCACTTCGATTTGCAATAATTTTTAACCCACAATTTACAACTCAAGTGGGCCATTATTTGCTGAATTGCCAATGACGCTAAAGGCGTCATGAATATTAGCGCCAAGCAAAGGTAAGAGGCGACTGCTTTCAACTGCGTCACCGCTTGGTCACTGAAAAAGTTCGCTGTAAAAGTTTTACCCTCAAAAGTCAGAAGAAAAAAAATGCTCAAGCACTGCGCACAGTTAATATTGTTTTCGCCATTGCTGTCACTCATTTGAAGTGTTGTCCGTTGTTGCTGTTGCTGTAACGCTTTGTTTTGTGCTATGTATATATAGCATTTAGAATTCGTGCATTGCCTACTTTTAGGCGCTTCAAGTCCGAAAGTTGACAAATCATTGTTTCATTTTCCTTTCCCCTCTCACTTTAACGAATTTTTTAGCGTTGATGTAATTATAACTTAGCGCTGCTGGGACTATGCATGTATGTATGTATGCGTGCATCGGAGTAAAGGAGATTAGCGTTTACGCCTAATTGACTTTGAGTTGGATTTTATTACTTTTTCGCTATCGCAGAAGTTTAGTGTGCAATTTCAAGAGTGGGAAATTAAATGTGTCAGGGCATTAATTTGTGTATTTATTAAAGAGTAAAAATATTTATTTTAATTGCCTGTGATTAGGGAAAGCTATTTGCGGAAACCCTTTTATTTCCAGTGGGATTTTTAAGGAAAAAACTTATATGTTTAAATTCAAGCTTAAATCAAGTACTTTAATTTCATTTTTCCCCCTTAATCAGTATCAATTAAGTGTTTAAAAGTAGTACATTTTTTTTATGAAATAATTAATTCATGTAATTTTTGAATTATATAATATAAGATCCATCGGCAGTTTTATGCTACAAAATAGAGCATGCATACACACACTAAAGAAATTCGATTAATGGGAATGCAGTGGTTTGGTTTGCTGCGAAACTGTCCGAAGCGAGGTTGAAATCGTAATTGTGAGCGACTATTTTGAACCGTTGCAATCCTCAAGATATCTCAATTATTAAATCACCCATACGTGCGCTTCTCCTTTTGGCCGCAACTCGACCCATCGTTAAAGTTATCACTTACCAATCAGCTAAACTTAGGGTATTTGTAGACGCAAGTAGAGTGTGATATCGTCTTCTAACTCAGAATACCGAATTTTCTTTGGCTTAATGCAAGTAACTCTTTAGACTGCCTACAGTCCATGTTGGTCGCAGTAATTTTGTGGTTATGCATTATAAACCCACTAGAGTCACGGACCTAGACAAACTTCGTAGATGCTAAGGATCTGGGTTGTTGGAGACAGGTCTCTAGCGAAAACTGGGTCTTAAGCCTTCCCCCTTTTTTCTTCTTCTTATTTTTCTCCTTTTTGATGTGGATATTGTTTATGCAACTCAAGTTGAGTTAGAGCAGAGCTCCAACCGAAGTCAGATATTTCTCCTTCTGATCCCTCCAACGCAATGGACGCATTCCTCTTCCTCTGCTTGCTAGTCAGCGTAGATCCTATCTCTTAGTTCGCTGTACTTCGTTAATTTTGTCGTACGGCTCGTACAGCTCATCAGCTCAAATTAGGACCACTTGAAAAGTCTGATTCAGCATCTTTAACCATTTTCATCATCTCTACATTGATTTCAACGCATTTCTTGAGCCTAAAGCCTAAAGTTATTAAAGACCTTCCCTCTTATTTTTTTTTTAATATTTGGAAATAACCGGAAGTCACAAGGTGCTATAACCGGGAAATATGGTGCTGGACATATTTCTTTGATCCCTGAGATGGCAATAAATTTACTCGTTATTTCAGCAGTGTGCAATGGCGCGTTGTCATGATGTAAAAAGTAGCGTCGCAAATCCTCTTTCTTCCTCAAATTTTTGAAAAATGTTCGTAAGCACTCTTCGGAGTACCATTTTCTAGTTACCATCTTTCTCTTTTGCAGTGGATTAGCAGCTACGATTTTAGATCGGGTGAAGTATACTGAGATCATTGCTTTTGCTGCTGATTTTTTTCCTTGGATTTCACGGGGGGTTTGCTCCATACCATGGACTGCTGTTTGCCTTGTGGATCGTACTTATAAAACCAAGATTCGTCACCACGACGAACTTTACTAAAGTTGCTAGATTGACAATTTTCGACTGTGTTTAGGAAAAGTTCAGCAAAATCCACTCGAGCCTCTTTTTGGCCTCATTTAGAATTCGTTGTGCCCATCGAGCAGATTTCTTCGTGTATCCCAGATAATTATTTAATATTCGCAATACATCCACAGCATTCAAGCCCAATTCATTTTCAATATATTCTTAAAGTCACTCATGGGTCTTCGTCAATTTTGGACTTCATCAGAGTTACAGTGATGTCATTGGTGAAAGATTTTGGGCGGCCTTCTCGGCGCTCGTCTTCTATGGAAAAATGTCTGGTCTGGAATCTTCAGAATCACTTAAAAATTGTCTATAAAGATGGTTCATATACAATTTAGCATTTACTGAATATTAGTATTGGCTGGAAATTTCGCCGAAACCTGAATAGTATCACATGGCGTTTCTGTTTGCGTTGGTGATGGAATTTTAGCTAACTTTCGGCTTCTCTTCCCCATTTGAGCCGATCTTTCTGAAATTTGAAAGAAAAACGAATAAAGTAATTGCAGAGCATTTGGTGTTTTTAGATGCATTAATCCGTGCGGGTTTCAAAGAGAGGGCTCTACTAGTATTATTTCGTGACGTGTTCATCTGTGGCTATATTCATTTCAAAGGTACTGTCATTTCGCGTCGTTTTCAGTAGATGTCATTTGTTTTAGCGTGAATAACAATTTGTTGCATTCATTTGAAATTGTCGAAATTTGTACCAGATAAAGTGTTTTTGCGGCGAGTTCTTCTTCATTACTTTAACATGAAGAAAAGTGTTACCGAAAACCATCGTATTTTACTGGACGTTTATGAGGGCCATGCTTTAGCCGAACGAACGTACCAAAAGTGGTTTGCACGGTTTAAAAGTGGCAATTTCGACTTAGTCGATGGAGAACGACCCGGACAGCCAAACAAACTTCAAGACGAAGAATTGGAAACATTGCAGATGCATGCCAGACGCAAGAACAACTTGCAAAAGTATTAGGAGTTGATTAAGCAACCGTTTCCAGACGATTAAACTCATTAGGATTCATCCAGAAGCTTGGAAATTGGGTGCCATATAAATTAAAGACAGGAGACGTCGAACGATGATTCTGCATGTCGGAAATGTTGCTTCAACGCCACCAAAAGAAGTCATTTTTGCATCGGATTGTCACTGGCGATGGAAAATGAATTCATTATGATAACCTAAAGGGCAGGAGATCGTATGTGAAGCCCGGTCAACCATTGACATCCACGGCAAAACCGTATATCCATGCTGCCAAGGTTATGCTAAGTATTTGGTGGAACCACAAGGGTGTGCTCTATTATGAGTTATTGAAATCAGGTTAGACGATCAATGGGGACCTCTACCGTAAACAATGGATTCGTTTGAAAAAGGCCATCGCGGAAAAACGACCAGAATATGCGACTAAACATGAATCAGTAATTTTTTATCATGACATGTTGCGAGGTCAGTTAATAACTATTTCTAAAACTGTGGGTGGGAAGTTCTACCTCATCCGCCTTATAGCC